CTGTTAAAACAATTTACTATGTTATAACTTGAGTTTTTCTTATATAGTTATTACTAGGTTTTATTAGTGTTCAAAAAAACAGGAGACATATTATTATAAAGATGCCAGTTCTTCCCCAAGCAAATTAATAAATTAATGGATCAATAAAAGCTCGTTTGAATTTTCATTTCTGACTTGATAGAAATGATTCCAAAGTTCATCTAGGGACATAAATGGACAATGTGAGCCAGACAGTTTTGATAAAGAAAAACAATGAGAGGTGATTTGCAATACAAGATGGTCAAATGTGTCACTGGCATGAGATCATTTGGCAGATCACCAACCTAGTCTAGAAAGTCCTGAGAAGAAAAGAACTTTGTGTCTCTGTGTGTCTATCTCCTGCTCCACTGCTGTGCCAGCTCAGTCAGATCAAGTGCTCAATAAATGGTACTGGGAGAGCTGGTCAGTCCTGGCAGGTTTATGAAATGTCTTAGGACCATTTGTTAGTAATTTAAAGAAACTGAAGGGATAAAAAGAAATAAAAGCAAAATGGAAAATTTCTTGCAGAGATAAATGCTCACTGATGGCATTCTCAAGCAAGAGTGCACAGGCTGTCAGGAACCACATGCCTTGCAGATTGTTGATATTATTCCCAGGGGAGAGACTGTGACATTCAGCATGGGTCAGGGGACACCCTGGTCCAATAAGCTATTACCCTGGTGGTATAACCTTGTCTGATCTTGGCTTTTCCTGAGTCTAGGCAAGAGTGAGATCCAGAGAGTAGGGCTGTTCGTGCCAGGGACAAAGACTTTAAAGGTGAAGGAATGGAGGTCAGTGAGCCTGATAACCCAAACACCAAATACCCCTTTCTCCAAAGAAAAAGTATAAGTACACCATTGATCACATATAGGTTTGTTTTCCTTTCTAGGCAAAATTCTTTTCATTCCTCTCATCCAACCCCCATAGTAGGTGCTTTTAAATGGGACAGTCCTTACATTGAGATTCCTTTGTAGAAACATGAAATTTCTTTTCGGTTCTGGTCCAGATCCAGCCATGGACTTCAGATATTCTAAGTTAATTTTTGTACTTTTGCCCTGTATTTGGTGCACCATTGTAAGGTGCATACACACATGAGTGCGTACACTTACTGTGGGTTTATAAAGATCCCATTTGTTCTTGACCCTTCTATTCCAGTTACTAGGTACTTTCTAGAACATCACCTGAGTAGACATTGCCTTTTCTCATTATGTATGTGTTTTGTATTCTTCAAATTTCTGGGGTTTTTTATTTGCAGACTTTGTGCTAACCAGTTACCTTTGAGGTATCTGTGTCCTTCCTCATGTTTGTGACTTTTCCCAGGAACAGTAGAGACATTTCTGCCTTTGTTTTGTTCTTCTGACTTTAAAGCTGTATCCATCTGCTTTCCTTTTTAAGTCGTCGACTTCTTCTAAAGCTCATCTAATTCTGTAGCTTCTTATGATAATTACACTTTAAAAAACACAGATAAATCAAGTAATTATATTAGAGTAGCTGCTAGAGTTTGTCATCATGGGATGCACTTGCTGCAGTATTTCCCAGATGGTCATTTCTTTGAATGTGAAGATGAAGCTATTATCAAAGAGATACCTGCAGACAAAAACCTTTGAGAAATACAGGGTTAAACAAAATCAGACTGATTCTTTAACCACAGACTTCCTAGAGGCTCTGATAAGCTTCTCTGCATTGTGCATCCCCCAGAGGACAATACATTTTGAAGCATTTCTCAAATTTATTTCACCGCAGAGCTCCCCTTTCTCAGACTGCTGTGGGAAGAGTAACCTGAAAAACACACATTAGGGAAATGTGATCTCATAAAATTTTGAAGTTGTATTAATTTTCTCATTAATAAATTTTAAACTCTATTCTCTTTGCTCCCATCTTCCTTGGGTATAAACCAGAGAAATCCAGGGCCTTGAGCCCTGGTGAGGACTGGCTTTGTGTCTTTGGAAGTTGCTTCCTTCTCCTGGATTTGTCCTCTGTCATCTTCAAATGAAAGGGCCGTACCTCAGTGACCCCTGGTTGAGAAGACATTGAGACTTGTCCAGTTCTAAGATGCTATTTCTTTTGTTCAGGGAACGTAATTGTGTTTATTACTAAAAAAGGAAGAAATTTTGACCATTTTCCAAAACAGTTTTCTCATTCTCTCTTGTCCATATAGAGCTACTTTATATCTTTACAGAAACCATTCATCCCTCTTGAGTTCTGCTCTTTCTTTTTAGACTCGATATGATCAAAGCTGCCACTTCTGTCTTTTGCTAACTGCGTATTTTGGAATCTTATTTGGAATTGTCAGAAACCAAAAGCTAATGAAGTGAAGTGGAGGGGACAGACATGTCACCTTCTGGGAAACTCCCAAGTGCCATTATCACCTTTAATGGGGTGTTTTAAAGGGAGAAGCCAGATTGCATTTTCCCTGTGCCCTCCACTCTCTCTTCCTGTTCACCAGCAGAGTAGACCATGGCAATTTGTGAAGCTTCCCCTTGCCTTCGCAGTCCAAGAAGGGTGGAGTCTCACTTCTAATTTACTTCTCCCAGGGACACCGGATTCTCTCCCAGCCCTCACCTGTACAGAATTCTCACCTCCACCATCACTTGGGCAAAGTGCATCAAAAATTTACTTTTAACAAATAGCATTACTGGCAAGAAAAAATATTTTGTTTTAGTGATTGGAATTCCTTTGTGATTGTTGGTTGAATCCTGAGATTAATCTGCTCCACAAAGCCATGAGATTTAAATTATACAACAGACTTTAAGGAATGAAGCCATTCTGTTCTCTATGCTGATTACCATAATTTTGGAAACGAAAAAGGGCGCATCACTGGTTTCCAAATAACAACCAAGAATAGGAGCTTCTGCACCTGCTGTCACAGTTAGAAAAAGAGGGCTTGGCACTCTGGACCTCGAGTTTAAAAACCCAAAGTTCAGAGTGTCCCTTTGTGTGTCATGAAGCCACATGCAGGAGAGGCAGAGACCCTGAACTAGACAGACATACAGATGCCTGCCCTTTGTCTTAGTTAGAGCATGTTACTATGAGCCCATGTTTTCTTATATGTAAGTGGTAGCAACAGAGTGACATGGGATTTTGTGATTTTGAGATTATTGAAAGATTAAAGAATCTATTGCATAGTGAATATACAGAATGTAGTAATAGATCTATCAAAATCATTATCATCACTATTTTTATCATAATTCTCAGCATATTCCTTGAACAATGTTTCAAATACTTGCTTGAACTATCATGTTAATTATGAAATAAATTATGAGGTATGATGTCAAATATTTACATTAATTATGATGATATTAAATTAATTTTAGCATTATTTAGCTTAGGCTTATTTTACTTTATATGCTTATAAAAGACACCTTACAGAAAAAATGTATATAACTTGAAACTTTTAATATTAAGAAGAACCAATAGCAGAAACAGTGGCAATACTGTCTCTCCAGGGGCTTCCCTGGTAGTGCAAGGGGTTTAGACGCAACCTATGAAGCTATACACAGCCACTGCATCATGAGTTCGATCCCTGGCCAGGGAGCTACACACATGGCACAGCAGACCTCTCCTGTCTCACCCGCTGCTCCCCTCAGCAGTGTATTTCAGTTGATCTGCCTGTTCTGTTTCCCACTGTGTCTCTGGTGAATCCTCTCACCCCCCACACCTCTGGCCTGTACCCCAGTTCTTGTATGCATAAATAAATAAATCTTAAAAAAATACTGTCTCTCCAATAAAACAGAACAGTATTGATAGCTTTGAACCCCTTTGTGACTATCCCCAATCAGATTCTCTGTCTTTCCCCTCAGACATCCCATTTTCTCTTTATAGTTTTACCACATTTATTCCTACAAAAACTATTCTTTGGCTTTCTGTGTTTTGAACTTGATACATATTGTAGGTACATGGGGCATGCTTCTCTGTCTCAACAGAGACAAGCATGTTTCATACCCTGGCATATTCTAGTATACGCACAAAGAATGCTGTAGGCATCTTCATCAACATGAAAAATTTTAAAACCATAACATTGAGACATCACATGTGCATGCATGTATAGCATGCATATAATATGATTTCTTTTATATAATTTATATAAAATTCAAAAATTTAGAAAGCCAAAATATATAATTTTAGGATAAAGACAGTACTATAAAGAGCAAGGGTTAATGTGCTGGATTGCGTTGACTGATTTTTGAATGTTGACTCAATCTTGATATTGCTTAGATAAACTCCACTTGGCCATGAGATATAATCCTTTTGAAGTCTCACTGAGTTGGTGCATATTTTATTGAGAATGTTTAGATTTATACTTATGGTAGTCTTAAATTTTGGACAGTTTTCTGAAAACATTTATTTGACCTCATCCCTGAATATAGACATTCATTAAAATCACTTTTTGATATGTTTCTTGCATAACTGTTAGTTATCCACTACTGGAAGATGTTTTTGAAATACCATCTTTTCTTCTGCTGAGAGAATAGCTATGTAAGGGTATCTTACTATCTTTTCTCCTTTTGCAAAAGAGAGTTTATTGATTTCTAGTTTATATTTCATGGTAATGTGATTAGAACTTCAAGGGACATATTATAGATAAAATTTTTTAAGTAGTATAATTTATTTTGCAATTACATGAAGTATTTAGAATTTAAGACTTCAAGTCACAAAATTTAAATTTTTTGAATGTTGTCTTTTGGCACTCAGTGGAAATCCACACACATGTGTTTTTCATTTTGTTGAAAAGAATAATTTACCTATTTTTTTCTAATTTAAGAGTTAAGATGAATGACACTAATAGATCATCAGTTGTCTTCTCTTTTTCTCTGCAGCCTTGCTGAAGTTGTCTGTAAATGTCTGCTGAATATGAGAGCAAAACCAGATACTATTTCTTATACATATTATGTTTAATTCTGTTGTAATAACAAAATTGGTTGATTTTGTTCATGTGGAGTTTTTATCTTGCCCTCAACGTGTGGTCTTGTTTCATTTCTCAGGTCTTATTTCATCATCTGTGTTTGATATTAAATCATGGGGAGGAAGCTGGATCTGTCTGGTCTGACGGATGATGAAACAGAGCATGTTCTCCAGGTGGTTCAGCGGGACTTCAACCTTCGGAAAAAAGAAGAAGAACGACTAAGGTGAGATGCTTCCGATGCCCACCTGGGTGCAGTGAGCCGTATGTGGACAAGTGAACTCCGGAGAGTGCTCCCTGCTGTTGGCCCTGAGTTCAGAGTCTTTATGTCAAGTAACACCCACTTACCTTTACAAGAATACCTTGCCCTTTGTAGAAACCTGCCAGCTTCAGTGTTGGGCTTAGTGTCAGTTCGAAAATTGACTGTTTATACTTGTAATCAAGGTTTTGATAACCTTGTAAGTTGTTAGCTTAGAATGGGTAGAGTTTATGATGGCACTTTTGAGCTTGTTCCTCGCTTTAATTTTTCCTGTTGGCAGATAGCACTGAAGAATACCAAAGAGCTTTGTGAACAGTTCTTGGGAGAATTAGACTCAAACCTGTACAATCTTCTATTAGAACTCTTAGCTGCCATAGAATAGGGAAAAAAACCCTGAACACCTGGTCAAGGAGACTGACCAGGAGAGGGTGGGGTCTCCTGGCCCAGTTACATCCTCTTCATTTTGTAGAGAGGGTTTTCTGAGTCTTCTGCAGTTAGTATTACCTTGTAGAATGCTCATAGAAATACTGTTACTGCTCAGTTGGGTCTAAATGCCTAAACTTGAAAGAAGTCAGAGGGATAAAAAAGAGGTCATGTGTTGAGTCTACTGTGTTAGAACCAGATGTCATGTCATCATTAGCTCCCTTCATCATCTGTGCACCTGTTAGCCCTTGGGATTTCATAGGTTTAGTGATGGCACTGACTTCTTCCTTAGGCACAGAGCTCAAAAGTCAGTCTGTATAATTCCTTCCCTGCTGGGCCCCCATACAAATCCAGGTCAGGCCCTGTTGATTCTACCTTGTCATTGTCTCTCCTCCAACCCTTCTGCCAGTGCACCTTTCCTTGCTTGATATCCTCACCATTGCAATGATCTTCTATGTGATCCTGCTGCCTTCACGCTTCCAAGTAGCCTGCTTGTGCCCACATCTCAGCTCTAATCATATCCCTCCCCACTCCCCTTCAAAGTGATATGGGTTGTTTTCCTTTTCCTTCCTTACACTTTTTTCCTACCCTTCTTACTTTCTGTTTCTATACATGACTTATTACCTTCCTCGCCAGACTATGAGTACTCTAGTATAATCATTTTTATTCCTACTGTGGTATTTTTTTTTTGTCCCCTAAGTTGTTTATATTCAACGTGAGCTTGCTAGATGCAAGATAAAAAAAAACCCTGTTAATTAAATAATTAGTTAATTTAAAAACCAGGTGCAGAGTACCTTCTAGCTGTTGGGTTATATGTGGGTAAATCAAATCTTTGCCCAGGGATTTCATATTCCAAAGCTGCACTGATCGGTACCAGCCACCAATCACACGTCATTGAGTACCTGAAATGTAGCCAGTCTGACCTGAGATGCACTGTGAATGTAGAGCACACACCAGGTTTCAAAAATGTAGTACAGAGATGGTGTTTCTAATGATTGGTATAGAGTGCCGTCAATAGCTAGGTGTGGAGTGTCAACTAAATGTCCTCAGAACATATTGCGATGGTCAGGTCAAGAGGGGTAGTGGAGCTGAAGAGTTCAGCACAATTAGGTCATTAAAGTGAATTCACAGAAAGAAAACAAAAATGTATAAAGCAATCACCGTGAATTGACCCTGCCATGGGTACTCTGCACAATTCCTACTGGTAATTTTCCACAGCAGTCCCTATAAGGGGATCCCCAATTTACACAGAACCACCCCAGCTTTTGAGTAACTGTGAGTGAAAATCTTGTTTGCTGTTTCTACTCCTTTTTCAGAATTTCATTGAAATATGTAGGTAGCTGGTTGTTCTTTTTTTCCCTCTTTCTGTTTATGAATTACTCTTATTTTCTTGCTGTCACTTTGTTTATATTTTATTGGGGTGTCATTGCTTTCCAACACTTAGAGGTTTAGAGTCGCACCTCTTCAAATGTATGTCACCACATCACACCCACCACCAAGGCACTATAGTCCCCCCCCCCACCCCACCACAAGGAGTGTCCTAAACTATTTACTTAACCTGCCATCTGGAGTCCATTTGCCATGCTTGCTGCTAGTCAGGGTCGTGCAGGATCCTAGGAAAGATGCAGAAATTTTAAAAACACCCCCAGTTGGGCCTCCCCGGTGGCGCAGCGGTTGAGCGCTGGGTTGCGAAGCTGCCCGCAGCCTCTGCTGTGCCAGTTCGATCCCCGGCTGCTCCCCAGCCACCGAAGGAGGGTCCCACATGGCGCGCAGACCTCTCCTGCCACCCGCTGCTCCCCTCAGCAGTGTGCTTCGGTCCTTCTGCCTGCTCTGCTCCCCGCTCTGGCTCTGGTGAATTCTTTCACCCTCCCTCACTTCTGACTGTACCCAGTGCTTGTATGTATAAATAAATAAATAAATAAATAAATAAATAAATCTTTAAAAAATAAATAAATAAAAACCATCCCCAGAGTGCACCATGTTCCAGAGTCTGCTCTGAGGTCAGACAGACGTGGCTGTGTATCCTTCTCCCACTTCTTGCCTTGATTTGTTACCTAGACTTGGGGCCCAGAGGTCAAAATGATTCCTGGAGAGGCTGGGTCATTGCTGTACAGTGGCCCTGACCTGGAGCCAGGAAAGGTGACATCTCTGTTGCCCTGACTTTCACTTTCACATATGCTGCATTTAAAACCACAGGTCTGTCTGCTGACAGACGGAGGCAGCCACGAAGTACCTCTGTCTCTCTGTTGTGGATGCAGCTCCAGGTTCAGTGATGCCAGCTGAGAGGCACATATTTTTCATGAATTTTTAGGTTTCTATATTTTTCTTGCCCTCTGCTTCCAGTGTTAGTCCATTCAGGAGAGTGAATAGGACAAATATATTGTGTCTATGCAGAATTCAAGGAGAATAATGCATTAATCAGTATAGAAATTCAGATCCTAACTCCGTCTACAGCAGTCTTGTTCTGCCAGGAATGAGATTTGTCGTCAACACACAAAGTTTCTCCATCCCTTTCTTGTCTCAATTATGTCACACCTGAAAAGTCTTTAATTAGCAGAAAAATAGAGCTGGATACATATGCTGCATTTAAAACCACAGTGTTCCAGAATCCAACTAGGACTGAGTTCCTGGGCACATTGTGGGTGCAGGAAGCTCAGCTGGGGTCTGTGGTGGTATTGACAGTAGCTTCCAGCATTAGACACCCCAAGGATAGATTTTGGTAGGTTTTTAATAACATCAGTTATGGCAGAAAATAAATCTTAGGGAGGCAGTAAGGTCTGAACTCAAGGAAGAATACGAACTACAGCTTCCTGGGCTGTAGAGAGACCAGCAGACAGATCCCCACCATGCACTGGGTTGGATGGGGTGGGGGGGGTGGCTAAGCCTCTTTAAGTGGATGCTAAGTGCTCCCCATGTGACTCAGAGCCGGAAGGCCCAGCATCAGTTGGAGCACACTAGTTTCCCCAGGTAACTCCCCAGGGCAGAGCCCCTGACTTGTTCATTGTCCCTCCTCCCTGGGCTGTCTGCTTGGGTATTGGGCATTTGGCTTCTTGGTGTTCTTATTTCTCCATCTGCCTTCCTGTGTGTCTGGCAGACTAAATTTTAAGAACTTTTTCTTCTTGACTTCTGCAGTGTAGCTTATCATGATATTCTGTTAATATCTTTTCAGATAAATAGGTTAATTTATTAAAATAAGTAAATAGAATGTTATCTGGTGACTGACAGGGCTAGTGTCCACCAACTATTTCGCATTTCCCAGACCCCTGCAGTTAGCCTAGATCTGACTGATGACTGTGAGGGAAGAGCTGGTGTCACTGCCAAGCCAACACACCTTATTGCTCCTGTGCCTCCCAAACTCTTGCTTGTTGTGGGGACCTGGGAAGCTCCTGCTGGGACGTGGCATCACAGGTTAGAGGGAGCCCTTCTCTAAGACATTGAATGGGTATCTGATGACCAGCAGTGAACGATGAGTGAGAAAGAAGTAAACCTTAGTTGGGTGAAATTACTGAGGCTGTTGAGCTTGTTTGTTATAGCAACATAGCCTCATATTACTTTGACTATTACCCATTCCTGAGAACTAAAGGAATCCAAATATTGCTCAGCCCTTGATTTTGCAACTGGAGAAGGAGGCTGGGAGGTCACTTGGGTATTTAATTGTTCCCCATGCCTGAACGCCTGGTCTTCTGCCTCTAACCCCTCATGCACTAAAAGACCCCGTGGAAAGACCTCTGAACCTATACCCTATCATCATAGTTGATACCCTATGATTTCACACTATCAGGCACATTTACAAGGTGGTTTTAAAAATGACTTGTTAATTGCAGGGTACTCTAGTGTTCAAATTGAGTCTTGGAGGTGTTTGCGAGCTAGCCACAACCTTTAAAATTTCTCATTTAATATGTCCTGGCCAGAAGCTAGTTAGTAGCTGGATAACTTCCAACAATTCGCTGGTGCTCTAATGGACATGGTCAGTGGGGGAGCAGAGGTGCGATTTGATGAAATTGTTTCCTGTAACTTCAAGTGGCCATTAATTGTCAGCATTTGCTGACCAGACGGTGAACTTAAGCCTGCGAAGGACTGCTGGGCCCAGGCTAGACCAAGCCAGGGGAAGGGAGGAGGGAGAGCATGAAGGCAGAGCATGTCCTTCCTAGTCTTTTTCTAAGAGGCTTGGCTGCTAAAGTCTAGCAGCTGTAGCTTAGAAACCACTTTCTCCTCGGGCCTCCCCTAATGGCACAGAGGTTAAGCACTGGGCTGTGAAGCTGTCTGCAGCCTCTGCAGCACCAGTTCGATCCCCAGCTGCCGGTGAGGGTCCCACATGGCACGACAGACCTCTCCTGCTGCGCCCACTGCTCCCCTCAGCAGTGTACTTCATCAGTCTGCCTGTTCTGCTCCCCGCTCTGGCTCTGGTGAATTCTCTTACCCTCCCGCGCTTCTGACTGTACCCAGTGCATGTATAAATAAATAAACACATCTTTAAGAAAAAAAAAAGAAACCCCTTTCTCCTGTGGTAAGGAAGGGGGCTCAAAGCACCTGAGTCCTGTTTC